ACTTGGGGTGACATTGGACACCTGAATAGTTCCGCAATCATTTAAAAAATTACACTATTCAAAAACTTTCTCTCAAAGGAAAGAGCAGGCTAGACCTTCAGAGGTGCCTTTTACCCAACTTTGAAGAAGCAAATTGTTCAAGTCTTTGCATTTTAGTTTCTTAGTGCTACTATAACAAAATCCCCCAGGAATATAGCTTAACAAACAAATTTATGTTCTTAGAGGAGGCTTGTTGTCCTTAGTTGCTGTCAAGTCTCTCCCAAGTCCGGGGACGCTCTGTCTGCAGAGTAGAACTGCTGCTCCGTAACAGTTTCCAAGGTTGGGACTTTTCAGCAGCCTTACTCCCAAGGTGTCTCGGGGTGGGTGCAAACCACTCATGTTGCAGCTAGTGTACCAGCACCTGAACCCATCAGGCCTCCAACAGAGAGCAGATACAGGCATGTTACCGAAAACATTTTTATTAAGTGTGAGCAGTGCAGCTAGGAGGACTTATATGCACTGTGTAATAACTGATGCAGTAGAAGTTCTTTACCATTGGTTGTTGGGTTTTGTTTTTAATAAAATGAGATTCCTCTCTAAAAATGTATTCAAAAATCAATTCTAAATAGTATTTATTCTTACAGCTCATCTGTTAACCCTAATATAATTAAAATAGTAACCAATTACTAATTTAACTAAAAGCTGTATGTAGATGGGGCAGGGTGGAGTTTCTAAATATCTTGATGTGAAAAGATAACTAGAACTCTTTAATGTGAAAGTAAAAGTATAAAAATGTAAAGTCTCTCGACATCAAGGTCAGGATGATTTTCATAAGCGGAATGCAAAAAGCACAAGACACAAAAGAAAAAAGGGTTGAGAAATAGGAGAGGGTTTCCAAAAGTTTGTGGGAAATGAAACTAAAAGGTAATGGAAATTTTACAGTCGTTTCCTACATTAAAGGTAAGAAATTGGCTTCATTCTAAAGATTCTTAGAGAGTGAAAATACAAACCAGACACTGCAAGGTTGTAACAAATAGAAGTGATAATAGATTTAGTACTAGAATACATGAATCAGTAATCAAAAGATAAATAGTAGTCTTCTAATTTCATTTCTCCAGGAGTAAGAGTTCCTTTGAAATTGATTTTGTCTTCTCATCAACCTGCAGATGAATCTGAATTAACCTTAGGACCCTGGCAACTGGCTAACTCTGACTCTTTTAAAGAAAGACTAAAATCACCTAGTTGCCAAAAGTCAATCCTAACTCATGGTGACCCTGTATCACAACGGAATTGTGCTCTTTTTGACTGGTTTTTTTAGAGCTAGGTCACTTGGCCTTTCTTTAGAGACATCTCTGAGTAGACTTGAACATCTAAACTTTGGGAGAAGAGATACTGATTTTTGGAGTCATCCTTGAGTCTTGTGAGCTAAATTCTCACAGTCCAGGGGGAGGACTGTGTTTAAAAAAGGATAAGGTTGGGAAAAATGACCTTGGGTCAAACCCAAGAAGCCACTATGGTATAATGAGCACTTAGCCCTGCTGAGTCCAGGTTCTGAGCTCTATTAAGGGTCTTGTGCCCTTGGCCTCACTCATCCTAGTGACTGAGAGTGTGCCTACCAGATCCACCTGCCTCCTACCTCACCGTGTCAGGCTGAGACTACCCACTCTCACCTCACAGCTTAGTTTAGAACCCAAACCTGATCATACCCCACCTCCTACCCTATTTGGGATCTTTGACTAGCTTCTCAAACTATGCTAAGTGCTCCCGACCTGCCCATCCTGGATCTTCCGATTTGTTTTACTTCCTCTCTCCACCTGAAACACGCCCCCCACCCCCACCCCCCGTATTCTTTCCTCCCTTCCCCAGCCAGATGGAACAATTTCAGGCAAATAAAAGTTCCATGTTCTCTTATCTGGTGGAGGGTGTGGGGAACCTAGAGTGTGTAAAAGACATACTCTTGTAGTATTGGAATTAATTACTTCATTCCTATTTCTTGGACTGCTGATAATTTCTATGAATATATAGATTTAGACTCAATGTTTTTTATAAAGAGTGAAAAATCGAGTGTGAATTAGAGCTGTGAAACAGACCTATATGTTTCTTATTATTATTTTAAAGTGTGTTTTCTGAGATGGTTTATTTGAAGAAGGAGAACAAGCATATGTATCTGAGCTGGAAGAAGAATTGTGGAAATATCTCTTTTCAGACCTTTTTCCATCTGAGCAATTCTATCAAGGCCATAGACTCTAGTGAGGCAACCTGTGTTTATATCAGTTGTGTTCGTAAAGGGACTCTTTCTCACCTGCCCAGACCGCACAAAGGACTGGTTTTATTGTTGCTGAGAATGTAACTGCTTACTTAAATGGTACAGCTAACTGGCACAGGGTTTCGTGACTTTTGGTCCCTAATGTTCCTAACACAGATTTTCCTGATACATAAAACACTATTTTTGTCATAAAACTGAATCAAGCAGAGAAACTTACGTACATAATTGTTATAGTTTAAAAATGAATTGGACAGAACTCAAGATTTTACAGAAGCTATCCTTAAACTGAGCTTTCAAAATGGTGTTTACTTCCAAGTTATTTCATTTGCATACTTTGGTTATAAAATTAAGTAATTACTATTAAGGGATCAGTGTCATACTTTGTAAAACAGATTTGTTTAACAAAAACTGAGAATAATGTGTGGCAGTTTATATGTCATGCTCTCAAAACAGGCTTTAAATCTTATGTTCTATGTAGAAGTTGTTAGCTATTCTAAAGGGACAATAAGAGATTATTGTTCATATCAGTGTAATAAATTGATACTCCCAGATCGTACTTTTTTTCATTTTGCACATTGTCAGAACCTTGGACTTTAATCTTATTCTTTGATTGACAGCAGCGACCAGGGAAAGAACACTTGTATTGTTTGGGATAGTCACATCTGTTCAACTTGATTCAGTTGAGGGCATTTGCATATTCTTAAGTATGTCTTCTAAGAAGGCTTAAATCCTTCTCAAGTGCTTGATGCGTTTTTGAAATTCATTCATAAGGTATCTACATGCACTAATAGTTCTGAATAATATTGCTGTACATAATCTGACAGATAAGGCCACATTTTAAAACAACGTGTTCTTTAGGGATGCTACATTACATTTTGACTTGTGCCATTGGACAGAAATGTCAAGGGGTTTTTTTTTGGAAAAGATTTCTTTAATGTTTTGATTAAATAAACATAACCAATTTTTAGAAATCATAGAAACATTTCAAAAGTAATGATTTTTTTTCCTGCCTTGGTAGGAAAATTAAACTATTTTATGGAAAATAATGGTAGACCTTGGATGGATTTGCTTGAACTAGTTTATAGAGAAGGTTACCAAGGTTCATCTTCGTCGCGTTGCTCATGCCTCTTGGAAATTAGGCCTTCAATTTCAGCCTCAACTCCCACTCTAGTAAGAAAGATAGTCAGTGACTTGATCTACATTAACGATGGTATATGCCACTGACATCTTTTACAAATTATCTTACATCTAAAATACTTCTCTTGGCACCTAATTAGGAATTATGTCCTACTCATCATCACCTCTCTCCAAAATTTACACAATTCCTATACAAAGTTAATGCCTAATAATTATTTTGTCTTGTTTTCATTGCTTTCTTGGGCTATCATTCAATAAAGAATAATTCTAAGACAAGGTAGCCTATTAATGGATAGCACAGTGGTTCTCAACCTTCCTAATGCCACGACCCTTTAATACAGTTCCTCATGTTGTGGTGACCCCCCGCCCCACTACAAAATTATTTTCATTGCTACTTCATCACTGTCATTTTGTTACTGTTATGAATTGGGCGACCCCTGTGGAAGGGTTGTTCGACTCCTAAAGGGGTCGCGAGACTCACAGGTTGAGAACTGCTGGGATAGCAGATAGGTTTGATTTTGTGTTTGAATTCTTTTTTTCTTTTTTTTTTAATCAATGGGGGCTCGTACAACTCATCACAATCCATACATACATCTATTGTGTCAAGCACATTTGTACATTTGTTGCCATCATCATTCTCAAAATATTTGCGTTCTACCCCCTCCCTCCCTCTCCCCCCTCCCTTATGAACCCTTGATAATTTATAAATTATTATTATTTTGTCATATCTTACACTGTCCGACGTCTCCCTTCACCGACTTTTATGTTGTCCATCTCCCAGGGAGGAGGTTATATATAGATCCTTGTAATCAGTTGCCCCTTTCTACCCCACCTTCCCTCCACCCTCTCGGTATCGCCACTCTCACCACTGGTCCTGAAGGGATCATATATCCTGGATTCCCTGTGTTTCCAGTTCCTATCTGTACCTTACAAATCTGGCTAGACCAGAAGATGTTTGAATTCATAAAGATCTGCAATTGCCGTATTGGGAAGAATTTCAAGATACACTAGAATCAGTTAACAATGTTTGCCATGGCATAGGGTCAGAGAAGCCAGCTGGTTGTCTTCCTTGCTATTTGCCATCCTTCGGAAAGGGAGAAGAAATGAGGTGATCAGTGAAGGCCCTGGAAAATGAAGATATAGGGCTAAGTAACAGACTATCTAGAATTCAGATACTGTAGACAAAAAGGCATCAGGGTGCTTAGTATTATAAAAATTATTGATGTTCAGAAAGGGAAAATGGCATTTGGTTACATTAAATATAATCAAAGCAAAGGAAATCATGGTTGTATGCTTATTGATGCCTACTCTTGTCCTCGATCCTCTCCTCACAGGAGCCCTGGAGATGGTCTGCATTGTTTTTATGGCTTTTCTTTTCTTAATGTATTCAGGGTTCTTTTCTTCCCTTGATTGTGTCAGAACCAGCTCTCTCCAATTTCATTCTTGCTTCTCATATATAAATATAAACACTGTGGTGTAACTGCTTCACACTTTTAATTATTATAAGAATTCAATACAGAAGCTCTTGATTCTTATCTGATTGTTTTAAAATAGTATTAAAAAATATTTCATTAAAAGCAAATAACTCTAAATTATATCATTACTATTTATCTTATAGGAATCCCCTTCTGGTCGAAGGAAAGCCCTTGCCACTAGCAGCATCAACATGAAACAGTACGCAAGTCCTATGCCAACGCAGACTGATGTCAAATTAAAATTCAAGCCATTGTCTAAAAAAGTTGTATCTGCCACTCTCCAGTTTTCATTATCTTGCATATTCCTTCGGGAAGGAAAAGCCACGTAAGTTTCTTTTGTCAAATAGGTAGCTTCAAATTGTGTTTCAGAACACCATAGGTTAATAGCTTTTGATGCAGTAGACTGGGAACAGTTGAGAACATCGTACAGTATACCAATGATACTTGCCATTCTTGGAATTAAATGAACTTGTATAAACAGTCTCTTTTGACTCCAGAAAGTGAGTAGTAATCTATAAGTATGATTACAGCTGGTTTCAAAGTATATTGTATATTATAGAATATTATAGAATTGGATATTATAGAATAGCTAGCGTATTTGTTTTATCTGTCTAATCCTTGTGTATTGACTATCATTATCCAACATTTTGCATTTATAACAATAGGAAAAAAATCTATTCAAATAAGGCCAGGTAAAGACCGATGTAGAGGAGCGCTGATGGCATAGTGGGTTGTACATTTGGCTGCTAACTTTAAGGTCAGCAGTTTGAACCAGCAGCCATTCAATGGGAGAAAGAAGAGATTTTCTGCTACTGTAAACATTTCTAGTTTCAGAAACCCACACGGTGGTTCTACTCTATTCCTATAGGGTTGCTCAGTCAGAATCAACTCAGTGCTTTAAATGGAAAAATACCTTTGTGAACCCCAGATCCTTGATGCCTCTTCTCCCAAACCTTACCCCAGTCTTAGATGGGAATAAAATTAAGAGAAAAAAGGCCTTGGGCCATTAACCTACAGCGTATACCAAGCCTTACTGAAACCTCACAAGGTCCAAAGACTGGTGGCAGAGCTGCAGCTTTGAGGAAAGCAGCAGAGGGGGAAGACAGGACACATGGCGGTAACTTTGCTACAGGCCCCAAGTTCTGCCATTTGCTTGTTTGGGGACATGAGGGCCAGTGGTTGGGGTCCCAAGTAAGTGGATGGATGTTTCCTTGAAGAGCCAGAATTCCACAAGGGTCAGAGTAGGGTACATCTCTTCCAAGTGCAAATCCTGACCCAGTCAGCTCTACCTCTGGTTTAAAATGGCACAAAGTGATCTTGCTGTTTAAAGTACAGACATGGATAGTGGCTGCAGGGAATAAAGTAACCCTGAAGGGTTGCCTCGGAAATGACTTCCGAGCCTTTGGTTGCTAAAGTTTCCCTTAACATATGGTCTTTGGAACTGATCCACGCTGCTAAGTGAGGAGGAGTGGTGGATTCATGTTTTCAGTGTAAGTAGAGCTGTGCAATGTGTAAAGCTGCTTGAGATGTAGTTGAGAGTTGAGAGGTACATGAAAGGTTACACTAAGAAGGATGCAGGAACAAAAAAATGTTTGCCAGTTCTTACTGTCTCAGTCTTACAAAAATTAGGTAAGGCGGTAGAACAAGATGAACAGTTTACTGTAATGATCATTATCCATTTAAAAACATTACTTCTTATGCACTGAATAACCATTTAAAAACATACGCAAAGAAAACACCAAAGCAAAACCCTAAGCCTCTTGCCACGGAGATGATTCTAACTCCTTGTGACCTCATGTGTTACAGAGTAGAACACCATAGGGCAATCTTGGTTATAATCTTTATGCCAGGAGCCCTGGTTACCGTATATACTAGTGTATAGGCTGAGTTTTTCAGCACATTTTAATGCCATTTTTATGGTAAAATTAGGTGCCTCAGCTGATATTTGGGTTGAGTTATACTCGAATATATACGGTAAGTGCCTGGCTGCTAAGTGAAAGGAGGGCAGTTTGAGCCTACTCAGGGGCTCCATAGAAGTAAAGATCTAGATTACCACCTGGGAAACACTATGGGGAAATGCTACTATATCATAAAGGAAGAACTATGAGTCTGTCTTTCTTCTATGGTGCTACTGGGTGAGTTGCATTCAGGGACCTGTAATTCCTGGGCCCATTTCTAGACTTGAAAAGAATAAGATGAATATATCTAAAGCCTCGCTAACCCACTACCATCAAGTTGATTCTGATGCATAGTGATCCTGGAGGACAGAGTAAAACTACCTCTGTGGGTTTCCCAGACTTGCAATCTTTATGGCAGCAGACAGCCCCATCTTTCTCCCTCTGAGCAGCTGTTATGTTTGAACTGCTGACCTTACACCTCACCCACTATGCCACCATGGATCCTTACACTTACAGCAGGAAGAAAGGGGAAAAAATGACATTCATAATGCTTAAAGCTGTATGTCAAGTCAACTTGTGGATATTGTGAAAGGGTTATTTCATACTTGGAGTGGAAGATTAAGGAGAGAACAGACATGTTAAACCTAAACTCAAAAGGTAGGAGGAAGAAGGCAGCAGTGAACATTTACATTCAGTCTGAATCACAGTTCTAAATGTATTTGACCGAGTTGAATGTGGTTACTATAATTGGGCATCTCACTTGACTGATTAGACTGGACTCTGCGTCAGTCAGAATGTGGTGTCTGACACTTATCTACATGGCATCAAGTGACTTAGTAGATAACAGTAAGCCTCCTTTCTGGGAAGTTGGCTCTTGAATGAGTGTTGTAGGGAGACAGTACAGAATAGTAGCAATTAGTCTTTCATCACGGATCTTAAATTGTAGCCTTAAATACTGAGAAATTAAAAATAACCCGAAGTTCAAGTCAAAATTGAAGGAAAGAAAGCTGAGGAAAGAGAGAGCCAGCAAACTCAGAGAAGATCCTTTGAGGGGGCCCCTTTCTACAGGACAGAAGAAGTAAGTGAATCAGTACCATTCATAGGATCTAGATAGCAAATTCTGAGATATCTTACAGAACACCTCCGAACTTTCTATTTCTTTTCTCCACTCCTTACCTTCCCCAAAGAAAATTCATCAGTGCTCCTATATGAGGAGATTAAAGGTAAAATGAGCCACTTATCACTTTGAGAATGATATTATATTCTTGAAATTAATCCCCTGTTGCTAGTAGGTGAGCAATTTTTAAGCCATTGACATAAAGTAATGAACTTTTTTAATTCATGCAGACTTTGTGCCATTACATTTATTCCAACAGGGGGACATTATTTTGTTAACTATAGCTTACATGAGATAAAATGGAAAGAATTTGAAAAACCGGTTTATTTGAAAAATTTATATCATATTTAGACAATAGATGAATTACTGTAGAAAATAAACTTTTATTTGGCTTTCTGAATTTGGGGAACATAAACTAAATTGACATTTAGTTTATATGTAACACGTTAGAAATATGTTTCACTCACTGTATTTGAATTTTAAGGTCAAAGTATTAGGCCAAGAAAATAAATGTGAATTATATGCCAATAAATCTGTTAGGAGAAAATAAATAGATAGATAGATACAAAGAAATAAAGAAAGCAAAGTATTTTACTTTTAGAGTATTTAACATAAGCTTTATAAATTTACATTTAAAATTTAACAACTAGAAATGTGTTTTATCAAACATGTAGTATTTAAAATTAGTCAGCCCAGATAATTTTCATATTATAATTCTTTTAATGGTCAGATTTTATTTTGAAAACTGTTTTTCTGTTGCAATAATTCCTCCATTTTGAAGGGCTAATGGGCCCTTTGGGAAAATATGCACATTGAATAAAATTTAAATGTAATATGCAATAAGTTTACCCCCTCCTTTCCTTCCTAACTACATGCCCATGGACTTCAGATTAAGAATTTCTGTTTTAGTTATTTTTGCAGATTTACCTGAGTTAAACTCTGGCTTTCATCTTATTTACAAACTGCCCAGTGTTTTTAGGAAATAAAATTTTATTTCCAGACTTTATTACTAAGAAACCATACTTAAATCTCATGAAGAAAAAGTTAATCTTCATGGAATTAAACTAGCTCCTAACTAGTTTGTTTTGAAACTTGTTTTCTTTTTACTATTTAAGCATGACATTTAAAAATTAATGAATGTGAATATTATGATTTTTCAGTATTTGTGTACAACTATTTAAAATGACTTATTCACATGGTATCTATCTTATAGAAAGAAGAAAATGGATTATGTTCTTTTGTTTTTAATATGTTCTCAGGAATTCACTGTTCAGTCACTTAATGAGCTGTCTATTGTTTTTTAATCACTAATGTAGGGACGAAGACATGCAAAGTTTGGCTAGTTTGATGAGTATGAAGCAGGCTGACATAGGTAATTTAGATGATTTTGAAGAAGATAATGAAGAAGATGATGAAAACCGATTGAACCAAGAAGAGAAAGCAGCAAAAATTACAGGTTGGCTTTCTTAGCATTGAAGCTAAAATGTTCATATTCTGCGATGTTGAAAAATGTATTTGTGTTTCCAGGGCAGTATAATGCTACTGTAATAGGCACTGTCTGTTTTTGTTTTTAAATGGAGGAGGAAATTTTTATTTTAAAATTTTGCCATTATTAATTATATCTGTATATTGTAATATAAAATGGTATTATATCATTAAAAATCATATAGTTCTAATTGGGGCTTCAAAAAAGTTCATGGAAAATGAAACCCAAAATAATGGAATTTTTCATAAAAACTTTTGGAAGGCCCGTCACATTATTTCCTGGAAGTAAGTGGTAACCTTCTTTAAGGAATTAGATACCATTATTTTTTGTATCTCTTAGAGTGTTTAAGTTCTTGTGAATGTCTAGAGGCTTTTCATTTAGTTGGCAATTTCTTCTTTAAAGTTGTTTGTATAACTTTAATTGACAAAATATGGCTTGTAGTACTAGAACGCAGGAGAAATATGAAGTTCTACTCCCATAGAATCTCAGAAACACACAAGGGCAGTTCTACTCTACCCTATACGGTCGCCATGAATCACAGTCGACTCAGTGGTAGTCAATTTGCTCTGGTTCTAGAATATTTGCTAGAAAGTGAGAAATACCTCTCTCCGTGGTTATGAACCTGCCCAAGGTTCCTATCCTGCATTGTCTGAGATACAATGCCCTGCTAACTGGAAGCACACTGTGGGATGTCTCTTAGGCAAGGAAACATTTATTGATACTGTATATTTTACTCAAACTAGATACTTTCTTCAGACATGCAGCACCAGCTAGTGGACAGAAAATTTTTGAATTGCATTTGTGAAAACACCTGAAATGTAGCTAAAAAGGCTTAGAGTTAGAAGAGTAGAGCCTTTTAATGGACAGTGTACTAAACCAATATTAGATAAGTACCTTCAAAATAATCACTACACACCAACAAGAAAAAAGTCCTGCATAAATGATAAAATCTTACTGTATATCTTAAAAAAGAAGAAGAAAAACTCATTGCCATTGAGTCAATTCTGACTCCTAGCAAACCTATAGTGTATACAGATTGGAAAATCAGGCTTAAATAAATTAGTTTAAGGCAAATATTTTTGAAGAAACAAAGATATATAAGACCTTCTGAAAGCTCTCTGATATTCTTATGGTTGTTGCAAATATGGGGGGGGGCTTCAATAAATGTGTGGATGGAAATCTTTGGGTGCCATTATAACATTGGACTAATAGTCTCCCTCATTCAGATGATGTGTCTTTGTTTTTGTCTTATTTAAGACAAAAATGTTTTCCTTAAATTATTAAAAAAATAACTTGTGTGGAAAAATTCCATTGTTTTTAAATTACATTTTCCTATGAACTTTATGAAACTTCTCTTACTAGGAAGATCTTACAAGCAGACCTTCTGACGTAGATGACCTGTAATGGCCACAGAAAGCTGTGGGTTCCCTTAGGAGGATATTGGACAGAAAACACCGGCTTGCCAGCTGGGCAACCCTTTTTCATTAGAGCCCTAATAGCAATCCAGAAACTGTTTCCTGGCCACCTGAACCACATGACAGCTTAGGTTCAAAGACATAAGATCTACTTCGTTGGGGGGAGGAATTACCTTAGCCTAGAAACCTCATTCCTCACAGGAGCCAATGTGTCTACAATAGTCTCATCATTTTACTTACCAGGTCCTTTTAAGGTACCTGGCCAGTAATGAGTGTGTATACATTCAAAGGAACTCAGGAGTTCCATTAGTTAGAAGTTCTACCATTCAAACATGGTTTATTCATCAGGAGTCGCTCTTTACCTTCAGCTATGCTGCTTGGTGTTTGTTTATTCTTTCCATAGTTATTAATGTTTCTTCAGAAGGAAGAAGAGTGGATGGTATGGTGACTCTTTTTAGGGAACAAAACATAACAGCATAGATGTTACTAAAGGGCATACCAGTTCCTACTTGAGGACTTAGTTAATGATGGATGGTGTGACTCTGCCCTTTCTAGCTAGGGTCAGGAATAGAGGAGAAGCAGTTCTAGCACTTTTGACCATGGTTCTGCAGAGTTTACGTGGGGCTGTGGATAGAAAATAGATCCATCAATGTGTGCTTTTTAAAAAAAATTTTTTTTTAATCCGGTTATCTACCTTCTGGTACTTAAGAAGTTCCAGTCTATATAGACTAAAAAAGAAAGTAATAATATTACCCTGGACCTAATAAAGTTAAAATGGTGCCGCAATTCGGAGACTCTTCTTGATATGATTGAACTGGAAAACTCCCATCAGGTTCATAGGTAATACGGTTGGGAACTGGGAAGGAAACAGAGAGCTGGAGCTATTTTGATTTCCTTGAGCTCAAAGGTTTATAAGTCACAATAGCTTAGCTTTATCTTAAAGAAATTTGAGACCCAAGACTGAATTACTAAGGACAGCAGGGATATCTCTTTCCAGTGTTTAGAACTCAGATGTGATGCCTCAAAGAACAGAAGTGGCAGACAATACAGACTGCACATTTAGCCTACTTTCTGGGTTACTCTTAAACCTTAATGCAGCTTTGTACTACCGACAACTGAACTTTTTCTCTAGCAACTCCCCGGAAGCCCCATTCCCAAGAATCCCAGAGAATTTTCTTGATAATGGAATATATTAATATGATTCCATTCTTGTTACATTCTAAAAGAAGCAAAAGTAATCTAATGTGGAAAATATTAGAATATGGTTGTGTATGTGGTGGAGCTTGACCCTCACTTCTGCCAGGAAGTTGGAATGTTTCTAAGGCCACCTTAAAATCAGCTATTCCCATACTGAAACTTATTACGCCATGGCGAGAGAAATGAGGATGCTGTAAGATTTGCAGCTATGTTCTAGCTCTTGGCAGTTTATTTTTCCCTTTTTACACAAACTATGGACTTTCTTAAAAGGAAAAAACTACCAACCCTTCATGCTCCCCCACCTTCCTCTTTTTTGTTGTTGTTCAGTGTGATAATCTCTGGTGGTCAATTTCTATCTTCTTCTGCCTTCCTAACAGTAAAGAAGAGTCTCAAATTACTTGACCCTTTGCTTCGATTGCCTGCCCTTAATTTAGTTTTCCTTCTTATTCTTACCACTCTGAAGCAAGTGAAGGCTGACATGCTGTTCTGATATCTAACTGTTGTGTACCATGGGCTTATTGCCCAATTTAAGTAGTACTAGTGTGGAAATTGTGTATGTTCTATTACATGACATTATGAAGACTTCCCCAAGTATGTAAATTTTCATTGAAACAAGACTTTAATGAGTATAAAAGTATAGATAGCTGGTTAATATCTGGCTAATGTTTTTGGTCAGAGGGATACATTGCTGGGAAAACTTCCCATTTAAAAATAAAATACCAGAAATATATTTCTTGTTGTAACTCTTCTTTTACATTTTTAGATTTAAATTTTTTTTTAATTTACTGATTGTAAAAGTACAGCACTCTGAGTTTAGGGAATTAGGAAGAAACAGAAGTCTTGTTTCTAAAGGAAAAATATGTAACAAAATTATATATTTTAGGCTATAGATCCAAATAATATCTTCCTGTTGATTATCTCCATTAATAGCTTCACAGGCTTATCTGTCCCAAACTGAAGAGTTCCTATGGCAATGTGAGATCTACTAGCCACACAGTCACCCAAGATAGAAACCTGGCATTTAACCTGGATTCCTTTTTATATCTTCACGTCAGATTAGTCATCAAGTCTCGTTCCTTTATTTATTTAATTTATAATTATGTACTCAGAGAGAAATGATACACAAATGCTCCTATTTTTGCTTCCTGTCCCTTTTTTTAATGTTTCAAAAACATACATTTTATCTTTCTAATCAATTCCCATAGCTATTTAAGTTTACATTCTTTAGTATACAATAACTGTCATGATATGACATTTACCAGCATCATATCATTCTCTGTCCTTGGCATCTTAAGCCCCAAATATAGAGGGTAACTAAAATGTACACACACACACACACACACACACACATATATTAGAGAAACAAAAATATAAAACTGTGAAGCTACTGTTTTTTACATATCCTCCATTTAAATGTATACACTTCTGAAAGCACTGTTCCCATATTTCTAATCCTTCTCTGAAGAACTCTGTGCGCTTTGATTTACCTCATGTCAAAATATAACAGTTTTAATATCCTCAAGGAACTCAAATGATGTTCCTTGGAATTTTATTTTTATTTTTTTAATATGGGGAACACAAAGAAGTCTGACGGGCAAGATCAGGACTGTAGGTTGGATGGGGATCAGGTTTCCCAATGAAATTCCTATAGAACCGTGACACCAAAGAAGTAGCCGGGGAACCACAGTGGCAGAGTCAGAGTACGAGATGGAGTGACGGGCTTCCTGGCCCACTGAGCAACTAAACTTTCATTCAGGAAATGTTTTTGTGGAGTGAGATGCTTCCTATGTTTAATCAGGGAAGTTAAGTTTGCTTTATAACCTTAGCTGAGCAGGGCAGAGTCCAGGCCAGTGGGCTGAGGGACACAGAGAGGCCTGCCGGTGGGCATGCCAGAAAAGAGGATGTCCTGACTATATCCCAAGTATTTCTGATCCTGAATTATAGCCTGTTCCTTAGCAAACCCTTAAATATGAATATTGTCTGTGGGTTCTGTATGGCCATTGCAATGAAATGTCGAACCTAACAGAGAAGTAGAGTGTCATAGGAAGGCTAGTTGGCATCAGATTAGGTCAAGAAGGTTGGAGGGTGGAGACATGTCAAACCTCACCCCATAAGAGTCAGCCTTCCACTAATGGTGAGCTTGATTTTCGTTCCCCTTTGTGAAGTCAGATGCCACCTCCTTGCCATTTTTAGAGTAAGTTGGTGAAAAAATGACCTTTTGTGCTTTAGATATCACCTAGAGCATAATAAAGGGGATATGTCTCTAAACATTTAGAAAATTTACAATGTAAATAATCTAGTCATGTATTAGTGTCATCTTAGCTAACTCACTCACTTCCCTCAAGGCCATGTGCCCACTCATTGTGACTCTCTATAGGACAGGGTAGAACTCCTGTGAGTTTTCTGAAACTACCAACCACTCTTTGTGGAAGAGAAAACCCAGCCTTTCTTCTGAGGACAGACGAGTGGTTTTGAACTGTGGACTGTGCAGAGTGCAGCCAAACTCAGACCCTATGCCACCTGGGCTGGTCATCTTAATTATATCTAAATTAATGCCCATATTGTACCTAAAACTCTCTGGAGCAATATTAATGTTTTAAAAGTAAGGAGCAGGTCTAATGTTTTATTGCCTTTTTCTTTAGCATTGTCTGTAGTGTTCATTATATAAAACATTTATTAGATAATCCTACCTTCATTGAAATTACATCCTAGAATATAAAGTAATTAAAATATATTACCTATAAGGAAACTAAAAATCTTTGAACATTTAAAAATTTTTTCCTAATAAATAAATGTCTACGAACATAGTACAAATAAAATACAGATGCGAATAATAGCATCTCTGATGATTAACTCTGATAATCTGTGCAAAGCCTTTTTCATTACTTAATAAATGTTAGTTGCTATTTTCCCCCATATTTTTAAAGTTAAAAACTAACCATTTCTAAATTTTTAAAAACAGAAAATTAGTAATCACTTAGCACTGATCTTCTACTCCGTTATATTAAAAATCACTAGTAGTAAAGGATTGGATTTATGTCTAAATTACACCTACAGAGGAATCTGCTAGGTGAGTTGAGCCAGAATGGGGTTCAAAGTTACTGGAATAATGTAATGGATGAAAACACTTTATAAAATCTGATTATGCAGCTCCTATTTTTCAAATTCGGATGAATAATTCAGTGTTAATTTGTTTACCTATTTTCTATGGTTTACTTTGTTATTCGTATGAAACATTTTCCATTTGGATAAGGGAAATTAATAAAGTTTATAAACTTTTCATGTATATTTAGATTTGGCAGAGGTAGTGAAATATTTAAGTAATTGTCTTCTGACTCATGGAAAGACCATGTGTGTCAGAGTAGAACTGGGCTACCTAGAGTTCTCAGTAACTGATTTTTCAGCAGGAGATTGCCTTTTTTGCACAATGCCATTGGGTAGATTTGAACCTCCAACCTTTTGGTTACCTGTCCAGGGATTGACTGTTTCTGCTACCCAGAACCCTTATTAAATCTGATTTGATATTTATTTGTGCCTTCCTGTATGTGAAATCCATCTGGACAATAAACATGTTAGTTTTTTGTTTTTTCACCCTTGTGCCCTTGTTCAACAAATTGGGTATATAAAGATAGCCCATGTTGCTATCTTGTATTCTATGATTAGTTCAAAGGACATCAAGAATGTGTGCTTAGATTTACAGTGGTAAGAACTGTTTTTTTAATATCTAATTTAGACCTATTTTTAATTTTTTAACCATTTTATTTGTTTCAATTAGTGATCTGAATGTGTTTTATTTATGCTATGTGGAAGTTGTTTTTAGGTTTGGAATTTGGAAGCAGTAAAGACTTACTCTAGAGTGCCCTAGTAGACTCTTGATTTTTTCCAAATTATATCCAATGAACAATAATTTCACATATTGATTGTTGTCAAAATACAAAAATATAAATGATTCATGTAGAACAATTTTCTTGTTATACAAAAGGAACTCTGTCCTTGAGATTTCCTTTTTATCCATCCCTCTTTTCTTTTATCAATTACTGGATAAAAGATAAGATTTCCTAAAGCAAACCTCAAGAACAGATCTTTAAAAGAATATCCCCAGAAAGCAAGAGCTACTGTGAAAATAGTCACTACTGCCTTCTTTTCTTGCTGTAGGGCTAAATTTAAAGATTTTAAAACATGAACTAGACTCACTATGTACATGATTTGTTTAGATGTATTCTGAAAACCTTTGCTTTAAGTGTAGACTAATATAAAACAAATTGTACTGATTTCCTATGATACCAGAGGATATTTTAGTTCTCTTTTCAATATAGGCTTTTCAAGGAACATTAAATTACAGATACCAAAAGTAGACATCAATGTCAGTTTCTTAGATTATTACCTTTGTTTTATGATCATTAACATAGTTATATTGTTAATATAAGTTTTAATAATAAGATGCTGTATTGTAAAATAGTACAGCATAATGTTTGATTGAATACATGTTAACACATCATCAAAATAACATGCCCTGAATGTATTCTCTTGATTAAACAAACATCTCCTTTCTTTGTCTTTTTGAGTAACAGCATGCTTCTACTGCTCTTTAATTACATGTCCTTACCTTACATTTGTCTTGACTGGCTTCTGTTTACAGAAATTGTAAACCAGTTGAATGCTCTGAGCAGCTTAGATGAAGATCAAGATGACTGCATAAAGCAAGCAAATATGCCTTCAGCTAAATCAGCCAGTTCCTCGGAAGGTCTAAGAGCTTTCCTGTCTTTCTGTTCCTGATCCCATTCTCTACGGTGTCCTTCTGCCTCTTGCCTTCTGCCTGCACTTAGCTGTCATCCTGCTTGTCCTGTACTGTTTTCTTTGGTAATTTGTAGTACACCAATGGCAACCACAGAACAGAGCTTATTTTAGCAAAGCCTTATATTAATAACGTTAATAGACAGTGATTTTAAAACATCTTTTGAGGTAATACTTGGCTGTATAGCATGATGATACTTCTTCCCTGAGTTTACATATTAAGAGTATATGGTTTTAAAAATATTTGCTTGTATTAAATCCATTTAAATTGTTCATATTTGAATGTGATATTTTTTAAATGTATATACTAGGGCCTTTTTAAAATCAAAAGTAGATACAGGTGAAATTTTTATTATCTGACATAATTTTTGAATGAGTATGTACATATGATCATCTTATTTGAAAATGTTGGTGTGCTACAAACTACTTGAATGCCCTTCTGCCATTGGTAAAACGCCATGTCTTATTATTTGCAGGTATTATTAGTGTGAATTTTTATAATTTAAAATGTTTCATGAATTATTTATAATTATACATAACCAGATGTACACTGAACTAACATACATGGTTCTTTTCAGAGCTTATCAACAAACTTAACTTTTTGGATGAAGCAGAGAAGGACTTGGCCACTGTGAATTCAAACCCATTTGGTGATCCTGATGCAACAGAATCAAATCCATTTGGAGATCCAGACTCAGAAGGTAGTAAGCTTTTCCTTTACATTTTTAAAGTCTTTATGTCATCAGGACACTATTAAAAATAAATATTTTAAATGCAATTTTTATCTATAATGATAATTTTGTCAGAAATTCGTGGAATTTCCATTGAGCTGTGTAGAAAGAAAGAAAGCTTTTCATAGACATTGATTTGGGGCTCATTTTTTAATTCACTGTTTGGTCAAATAGTGAAGTTCTGTTGGTAGAGATACAGCATTTCATGTACAATAAAGTCTCAGTAGTGACCAAATCCCTTCAGGTTTTGGAACATACCAATACTAGGGTAGGGAGTGTCTTCTTCCCTCCTCTCCAAGTTTAATGGGTCCTTCCATTTCTCCTTACTCCTGACTTCTTGTCTCTAGGTGAGAATTATAGTTAGTAGTAAGAGGAAGTTGCGAATGTGAATAGCAGGGAACAAAAAGAAGGTTGTGAGAACCATTGGAATCACATATGTAATTTACCTGTAAGTAAAACAACAATGGGAATTTTGTTTGTTTCCTTTGAGATTTTTGGTTTTTGTTTTATTTTTTTAATGAACTGATTTTGAACCCAGAAGTTTGATTAAGGGCTCTTGACGAAGAGAGACATCTGTTTAATTAAACTGCTTAAAGTGACTACAAGGATAATGAAGCACTGTTACTTTTCTTTTTTCTTTATTTTTTTGGGCTTTTCTTAAGAAATATTCATGAGCTTTAGATGATTGTACTATGGCCTGTCATGATGAGAATGAAATTTCAGCTTCAAGAATCACTGTTAGAGCAAGCAGTATCATTCATTTTATAATTAATTTCTCATTTTCCTGTACCTAATTCCTTCTTTCAAGATTTCAAATTAGTAAACATTAATAAATGAGATTTTGTTTTGTTTATGGACTATACAAGGGGGGAAAACGGGAATTGCTCTGGGCAGAGCTGGGCTGATGAGTGTTGAGCAACTTGCTATGAGTTAGTGCACTCAGTGGTGATGGCCTGGGAGGTTCTCTCTGGTCACAGTAAATTTTTTTATAAAAGCAGTTTCGCTTGAACCTTGTTTTTGTGATGACTGATTTAAGCGAACAGCGTGCAGTTTTGAAATTAGGTTTCCTGCTTGGGAAAAATGCCGCAGAAACTGTTGTGATGTTGAAAACAACTTACAAGGACAACACTATGAGAAAAACTCAAGTGTACAAGTGGTTTTCTCCTTTCAAAAAAAAGGTGAAATCTCGATTTATGACAAACCTCATTCTGGACGTCCATCAGTTTCCCAAACGGATGAAAATGTTGACGTAGTGTACATTTGGAGTTTGTTCCACCACGTCAGACTGTTAATAAAGCTTTCTATTTAGAGGTTCTGAAAAGATTGCATAACAGTGTGCAACAAAAAAGGCTTAATTTGTGGCAGATAGGGAACTGGTTTTGCCACCACAACTATCCACCTGCTCACGCAACCATCTCAGTGCGCCATTGTTTGGCCCCACGCACCTGACTCATCTGACCTTGCTCTCTGCGCCTATTTTTGTTTCTGTAAGTGAAGAGGTACATGAAATGACAGCTATTTGATGACATATAAGAAGTGAAGAAACAAAATGAGGGAGGTGCTATCAGCCATCCAAACAGACGAGTTTGAAAAATGTTTTCAAGAATGGAATCGTAGATTTGACAAATGTATTAAGCGTCAGGGAGAGTAGTTTGAAGGCGATAAGGTTGTTTTGTAAAAAAATTCCATTTTGGGGGGGACCCCCTCATATATTATGAACAAATTTGAAACCCAGTACATCTTAAAGATAGCTAGTTCAACAGCCTCTTTTCCTGGGTTAGGATCAGAAAAGTTATTTGATCAAAAACTTTAGTTAATTAGAAATGGACTTGGAGCAAAATGTCTCACCAGGTATCTTTTTTAAAATTTTTCAATCATTTTATTGGGTACTCATACAACTCATCAAAATTCATACATATATCCATTGTGTCAAGCACGTTTAGACATTTGTTGCCATCATCATTTTCTTTCTTTTTTTCTTTTTAAAATCATTCTATTGGGGGCTCGTACAACTCTTATCACAATCCATCCATCCATCCATTGTGTCAAGCACATTTGTACATTTGTTGCCATCATCATTCTCAAAACATTTGCTTCATACTTGAGCCCTTGGTATCAGCTCCTCATTTTTCCCCTACCTCCCTGCTCCCCCCTCGCTCATGAACCCTTGATAATTTATAAATTATTATTATTTTGTCATATCTTACACTGTCCGACATCTCCCTTCACCCACTTTTCTGTTTTCCGTCCCCAGGGAGAAGGTTATATGTAGATCTTGTAATTGGTTCCCCCGTTCTACCCCACCTTCCCTTCACCTTCCCAGTATTGCCACTCTCACCCTGGTCCTGAAGGGATCATCCATCCTGGATTCCCTGTGTTTCCAGTTCCTATCTGTACCAGTGTACAGCCTGTGGTCTAGACAGATTTGTAAAATATACTTGGCATCATGATAGTGGGGGGAAGCATTTAAGAACTAGAGGAAAGTTATGTGTTTCATCGTGGCTATACTTCACCCTGACTGGCTCGACTCCTCCCCGTGACCCTTCTGAAAGGGGATGTCCAGTTGCCTACAGATGGGCTTTGCGTCCCCAATCTGCACTCCCACTCATTCACAATGACATGATTTTTTTGTTCTTTGATGCCTGATACCTGGTCCCTTCAAAACCTCGTGATCACACAGGCTCTCACCAGGTATCTTAATTTGACCATATGACATTTCCTCAACTGTTTACTATATATAATGCTCTATTCTGAGATACAAAACTACTAGCCAAATATTTTGAGATATCAGTATCTAAGCGTTTTATTTCAAAATGAAAATTTATATATAATATTTATTGAAGTATCAAATGGAGTAGCATATGACTCATGATTGTTCAGATTATATACTGTATTTCTATTAAGAATAAAGAATTTTAATGATACTTATGGGCCTAAATATATATATAAGAACTACTATTTTCTTTACATATGCATATTAGAATCCAATTTTCTGTGGGTATAAGACTTATTTTTCTAGAAATAACCTATCCATTTTTACTTCAAGTAACAAAGGCATTTGAGGGGGATATGTGCTGCAGTTGTTTTGATTTTAGAGTTTCAATTATTTTCTCATGTTCATGACATTCTGTGCTTCAGAAACTTTTAGAAATTTATTAAATGTATTTGTTAGCTTTTATAGGAAGTAACTTATCTTAAACCTTCCTTTGTTGTTTATTCTATTTCTTTCAAATTTTTGCTCTATCATTTGTATACTCTTTTGATTTTGTAACCCACGAATTTGCTTTCATTTTGGCAGTCCCCTTCATGAAAGTAAAAATAAAAATCTTATTTCCATCGACCAGTTTTTATTTATTTACTTACTTTTGATGATTAAGTATTTTGTACTTGAGCATATTGGGATTGAGTATTTGGGACCGTTAATGCAAATTGACTAGCCAAAACTTTCACACATTCTTCTCATATGGAGGAAAAAGAAGAGTTTGACTTCAGTTTTTAGAAAGAATCTCTTGAGGTTAAATATGAATATTATCCTTAATATGTAACTAGAGTCTCTTCAGTAATGTAAACTATCTCAAATACTCTCTGCCATCGAGTCATAGTGTTACAAGTCATTGCTCACTCATAGGGCTCCCCTGTGGGTTTCCGGGACTGTAACTTCTTATGGGAGTAAAAGGCCTTCTCATGTAGAGCTGCTGGTGGTTTTGAACTGCCAACCATGCAACTCACATCCCAACTTGTAACCACTGACTGCACTGCCAGGGCTTCGTTAAACTATATTTAAATATATTCCAATATTATTAAGATTTTATTTTATTTTTTATATTTTATCATTGCTTCCCCGTAATATATGAGATTTCAGTGTAATATACATATACTTATGACATATTAATTACCTTCATATTTTATGTAACCATCAGTCTGTTTCCAGCATTTTTAAGAAAAGCTCAGTGATGTCTAAGTAAGACTCTTTTTTGCTTCCTCCCACCAGCTCCTGGTGACCACTAATAAAACTTCTTGGTCCCTGTATATATGTTTAATCTAGTTATTGCATACACGTCAGATCATATAACATTTTTCCTTTGGGGATAGGCCATTTCTTCCAGAATAATGTTCTCAGGGTCCATCCATGCTATATTGTATGTTTCACATTTACTTTCTCTATTCACCTGTTGATAGGCTTTTGATTTTGTCATTATTTTCTCCCAATATAAAGGCAAAACAAGTTTCCTGAGTTATTACCTAAAGTACAAGTAAATGTAATTTAATTTTAAATTTTAAAATAGTATCTCAATCATAAGCTTTTTATAATTAGATTAAGTTGCTTGTGAAATGGCACTCATAGAACATTGTGTTTTCTTTTTAATGCACTAATTAATTGCCTTCAAGAATATTTTGTAGAGTTGTGTAGCACAATTAAAATTAGATTTTAACTCTACTATGATTATCTGCGATCTGAAACTTTTTCCCCGGTTTAGGAAAATAATTTTATAGGCCAGATTAATAAAATTGTGGGCAGTTTTATGTTGACCTCAACAATGATATCCTTTATTCCACATCCTCTTCTGAATCAAGCCTGAATCTTTGGCAGTTCCCTTTCAGTGTACTGTTGGGGATGGATGACATAAGTAAGAGGAACGACATTGCATTCATGGTCAAAAAGGATATTTTAAGATCTCTTTTGAAGTACAATGCAGTTTGTGATATTGTATCTATCTGCCTTTTAGAAAATTCAAGCAATGCAACTATTACTCAAATTTATTCACCAACCACAAAAGCTATTGATAAGGAAATTGAAAAATTCTACCAAATTCTTCTGTCAGAAATTGATCAAACGTGCAAGCAAGACCGCACTGATAATTATTAGTAATTAGACTCCAAAAGTTGGAAACAAGAAGTAACCGTAGTTGGAAAATGCAGCCTTGGGGATAGAAATGAAGCTGGAGATCATATGAAAGAATTTTGCAAGACCGAGGTCTTGTTCATAGCAAATACCTTTTTACAATACAAATGTCCACCTATACATGATGGAATAAAGCCAGATGGAATAAACAGAAATCAAATTGACTACAATCTGTGGAAAGAGCTGGTGGTGAAGCTCAGTATTAGCAACTAAAACCAGGCCAGGGGCCTATTCTGGAACAAACCTTGGATTGCTCATATGTAAAATCTGGTTGAAGCCGAAGAAAACTATAACGAATTCATACGAGCCAAAACATGACCTAGAGTATACCCCACCTGAATGTTGAGAACATCTCAAGAGTAGATTTACTAGATCGAACACTAATGAAAAGAAACCTGATGAGCTATGGAATGACATTACAAACATTCAGGAAGAAAGCAAAAGGTCATTAAAAAGGTAGCAAAGGAAGAAAAGGTCAAAGTGGATGTCAGAAGAGACTCTGAAACGTGCCCTTAATTGTAAAATAGCTAAGACAAATAGAAGAAATTATGAAGTCAGCGTGCTCAACAGAAAAGTTCAGAGGGCACCTCAAGAAGACAAACTCAAATAATTTAATGAATTGTTCACAGCCCTAGAGTTAGAAACCCCAAAAGGAAGGACATGCTTAACATCTCCTAAACTGAAAGAACTAAAGAAAAAAAAAATTTTAAGCTTTGAGTTACAATCATGAAAGATTTTGTGGGCAAGATATTGAATAATGTAGGAAGCATCAAATGCAGATGTAAAGAATACACAGAATCACTGTACCAAAAACAGTCCACCGCTTCAGGAGAACCAATGGGGCTGAGGAGGAAGTAGAAACTGCAGTGAAGCTTTCACCAAAAGCAAGGCTACAGGAGTTGATGGAATATCAATTGAAATATTTCAACAAGTTCGTGATGCACTGGACGTACTCACTGGTCTGTCAGGAAATTTGGAAGGCAGCTACTTGGCCAGCCAGAAGAGATCCATATTTGTACCCATTCCAAACAAAGGTGATCCAACTGAATGCTTAAACTGTAGAACAATATCACAGCAAGTAAAATGTTGCTGAAGATCATCCAAAATCGGTTGCAGCAGTAAATTGACAGGGAGCTGCCAGAGGTTCAGGTCAGATTCAGAAGATGTGGAACAAAGAATATCATTGCTAATATCAAGTAGATCTTGGTTGAAAGCAGAAAATACCACCAGAAAAATGTTTACTTGTGTTTTATTGATTATGCCAAGGCAGTTGACTATGTGGATTATAATGAACTAAGGATAACCTTGAGAAGAATGGGAATTCCAGAACTTTGTTGTGCTCATAAGGAACTTCTACATGGATCACGAGGCATTTATGGGAAAACAAAAAGGAAATTCTGCATGGTTTAAAATCAGAAAAGCTGTGTCAGCCTTTCATTCTCTCACCATACTTGTTCAGTCTTTATGCTGAGCATATAATCAGAGAAACTGGCTTATATGAAGACGAATTCGATCAGGATTGGAGGAAGGCTTATTAACAAGCTTTGGTATGCAGATGACATAACCTTGCTTGTTGAAAGTGAGGAGCACTTGAAACACTTGTTAATGAATATCAAGGATTGCAGCCTTCATTAGGATTACAACTCAGTGTAAGAAAGACCCAAATCCTCACAACTGGACCAATAGGTATCATGATAAATGGAGAAGAGTTTGAAGTAGTCAAGGATTTCATTTTGCTGGGATCCACAAGCAATGCTCATGGAAGCAGCAGTCAAGAGATCAAATGTTACATTGCATTGAGTAAATCTGCTGCTCTAGACCTTTGCAGTGTTGAAAGCAAGCATTGTTACTTTGAACACTGGGGTGCACCTGACCTAAGCCATGGTATTTTTGATCACCTCATATTCACATGAAAGTTGGACACCGAATAAGGAAGACAGAAAAAGAATTGGTGTGTTTGAATTATGGAACTGGCAAGGAATACTGAAAGTACCACAGACTGCCACAAGGACAAATGAGTCTGTCTTGGACGAAGTATGACCAGAGTGCTCCTTAGAGGCAAGAATGGCAATACTTCGTCTTACAGTTTGGACATGTTGTCAGGACAGACCAGTTCTTGGAGAAGGTTATCATGCTTGGTAAAGAACAAGAGCAGGGGAAAAGAGGAGAGTCCCTCAGCCAGATGAATTGACACAGTGGGTGCAAAAATGGGCTCAAACACCATAACTGAGAGGATTGCTCAGGATGGGTCAGTGTTTCACTCTGTTGTGCATAGGTTGGAACCAACTCAGCACTTAGCTACAACCAACACCTCATGATTAGCTTCCCAGTGCTTACCCAACAGTGCCACCCGGGTTCCTTTCAGTCCAATACCAAAAACCAGAAGTCAACTGCCATTGAGTCAACCCTAGGAGTTGCTAATTCAAGATCGTATATTTTTAAGCCATTAAAAAATGTTAATGCCACATAATATTGATAGTATTTAATTAATTTTTGCCTTTGTTTTGCAGAGCCAATCATTGAAACCGTTTCATCTAAAAAAACAGAAGAATCTTTTTATAATAACAGCTATAATCCCTTTAAAGAAACACAGACCCCACAATGTTTGAACCCATTTGATGAGCCAGAAACCTTTGTAAGCATAAAGGATTCTCCTCCTCTGTCTACAAAAAGGAAAAATATAAGGCCTGTGGACATGAGCAAGTACCTCTATGCTGATAGCTCTAAAACTGAAGAAGAAGAGTTGGATGAGTAAGTACTTTTTTTGCTATCATCATAGGTCAGTTTTTAGATTAAAGAGATCTTTTTTAATTATCTTTTTTTAAGGTATTAATTTTTTTATAATCATTTTATTGGGGACTGAAAACTCTTGTTACAGTTCATACATCAATTGTATCCGACATATTCGTACATATATCCCATCATTCTTTTCTAGACATTTACTTTCCATTGAGCCCTTGAGATCAGCTCCTCTTTTTTTCCCTCCCTCCTCCCCACACCCTCCACCCTTTGTGGCCCCTTAATAGATGGTAGATTGTTAATTATTTTCAAATGTCACACCGACTGCTGTCTCCTTTCCCCTCTGGTTTCTGTTGTTCATCCCCCTGGGTGGGAGGGTGTATGGTTATGTGCCATTCATTGTGATCGGTGCCCCCTCTCTCTCCCCACCACTCCCCTCATCTCCCCTACCCCTTTGTTATCTCTAGTCCCATTCCTGTTCCTGGGTTCCATGCGTTGTGAGTTTTATCTCTTGCCTTTACCTATGTACATGCTCCCGTCTAGTCTAGATTGGGAGGCGGCACTGTGGTCATGATAGCGGGGATTCAGGAGGCCTCAAGGAATGAGAGGCATTTGGTACTCTACTGCACCCTAATTGACTCAACCCTTTCCTGCGACCTCTCTGTGGAGGGGTATACCATTGTCCATAGATGGGCTTTGGGTCTCCGCTCCAACCCCCCTCCCTTCTCACCAATGTATTTTTGTTTATTTGTTTACTGTTTGTTGTGAGTCTTCTTTTGTTGTTGTTTTTAAATTTCTTCGACTATTGGCCAACACAGATGTTTTTTCTATCTCCCAACTCTCTCCATATTCCTGAGGAGAAACTCAGTAATTAGATAGGGATGCAGAAAAGACACAGAAGATAGAGTTAATGGATAGAAACAAGAGTGGTTAAAATATTTCTATATTTCTATAAACTATTAAATAGTTCTATAAAATGATAATTTAAAAAAAACCCAGTTCTTTAAATATCAAAATATTCAGGAAAGTAGAACCCACCAGCATTCGGCTCCCATGAAGATTTGCAGCCGTGGACACTGGAAGGGCAGTTGTATTTTGTTAGAGAGATCAGTATGAGTCCGAGTAGATTTAATGGCAGTGAACTTTTAGGAATGTCCCTTTGCAAAAATAATTTTTATATTGAATAAGTATGTGTACATATGTAAAGTGTTTAAATTTTCACCAAACTGAAGAGTAATCATTTACATGTTAACTGATTCTAAGTAATGGAATCCTGCACAAAGCCTACAAATATGTAAGGTGTGGCTGTATGAGTCTTTGTTTACCATGAAAATTTGTGACATTTGGTATATTAACATTATTTATAGCTTGGGAAAATTTAAAACCTATTCCTTCAGAGTACAGTTTAGCATGCAACAATATGGATAGAACTTGAAGATGTGATGCTGAGTAAAATATGCTAGTCACAAAAGGACAGCTATTGTATGGCATCACATAATTTTATATAAGACAAGAATCAATCAATATATAGAGACAAACATTAATGGTTACTATGGACAAGAGAGGAGAAAAGGGGGTAAACTGATGGAAAATTCACTTTTTTAAGGTTGCATAGCCATTTATTTTCATTACCATCAGTAAATTATATGCTTATAAAAAGTTGAATTGACAAGAGTTAAGTGGTACATTTTCAACAATGTCAACAACAAAAAAAGTAGCTGCTGAGGTTGCTTTTATACAACCAAACATCTCATAGGATTTGATTCCATGGTTTGGAGATATAAGGTCATGGTTCATGGGGCATCCGAGTTAATTGGCTTAATAACATATTTCGCATATTTATCTTCTGCCTCCTAGTTTATTGTGTAGTGCCTGGGGGATCTTAAAACTTGGAAGCAGTTACCCAAGGCATAGTAATTGGTCTCTCTTCTAGACCAGCCAAGGAAGAAGGATAGGCAAGAACAGGAAGAGGATGTAAGACTATTTGGCTAATTGGTCTCATGAACAACTAACTAGCTCCTTTTCCATGAAGACCTGGATGGTACCAACTACCATTACTGAACATTCTGATCAAAGATTCCATTTGCAGAATCTTGATCAAAAGGGGGGTGAGTGTAGACCAGAATGTAAAATTCTAGATTCTAGATATTTTAGAGCCACAGGAAGTAGATTAACCCCTGAAATTATAGCACGGAGATAATCTTTAAACCTTAAACTAAAAATAGTCCCTGAGCCATTTTAAAACTGAATAATAGTTTGCCTTACCCCATTGCCACTGAGACTATTCTGACTCATAGCAACCCTTTATAGGATTTCTGAGACTGTACATGTTTCTGGGAGCAAATAAACTCAATTTTCTTCCAAGGAGCAGCTAGTGGGTTTGAACCTTGCAGTTAGCAGTCCAATCATCACCTGACAGTGCCACCAGGGCTCCTTTCATTTAGTTAACTACTCAGAGAAAGAAAAGAGGACTTGTGGTGGCATTGTGGGCTATACATTCAGCTGCTAGTTGCAAGGTTAGTTGTTTGAATCCACCAGTGCTCCACAGGAGAAAAATGAGGCTGTTTATTCCTGTAAAAATTTAAAGTCTCAGTTCTGCTTTATCCATATGATGGCTGTGAGTTGGAATTGAGTCATTGGCAGTAACTTTAAGGGGAAAAAAAATCTGCCCTAACCAGTATACTCTTTTAAGAACTATATATATGATATCAAATTGACCATAGCAACTCAAAAGATTAGATAGGAATCTTGGAGGCGGGGGGCTGACGCTGGGGGGGGGGGAGTTGTTGGTGGTTGTGTTAATGTGGATAGAATGACTTTTAAAAAGCACTGTAAGAATGGTTGCACAACTTGAATGTAATCATTGTCGCTCAAGTGGATACATAGAAATGAATTAATGTAAGTTTTGTCCTGTATATTTTCAGCAACAACTAAATTAACAAATTTTAGGGGAAAATGCAGTTTAGTAGGAAAATCTTTCAAAATATGGGTTATGTGGGAATAATAAAAGAGCTCCCTTGATGCATGAAAGTTAGGAGCTATTGCTCTATATAAGCTAGCTCGTATTTTGAGCACTATATTTACTTTCAGATGCTGCACAGTATAAGAGGCCTTGAGAATTCAGTGTTAACAGTACAATAAGACCTTACAATATTCAGAAGCCATATCAAATGGACAGTGGTTGCCTTTGAAAAGAAATACTTTGAGAACTATAATGATCTACTTCAGATATTGTAAAGACCTTTACAAGAATGAAAGAGTTGACTTGTTTCCTATTGCTATGTAACTCCATATGACAGCATTTCCCCCTTTTATCCATATATTTAATGACTCAGATGTACAACATGTTTCCATGGACATGCTTAGATTTTGATAAAAGCTAAAAAAGTTCTAGCCTTATATTAGTACTTAGAATTATATCACAAAAATCAATTTCCAAACCCATGATCATATTGCAGAACTGATAACTAAATAGAAGCTGAAAAACTGGCTCAGTTCTTACTAAGGTTATTATAATTGTTTTCTTTGAAATAGCTAATGTGTGATCACAATGAATTTTCTCATGGGTGGTGTAGATGCTGAGTAATAGCCACACACCTAGATTGTTGAATGTAAATGCAAGTACTAGCATACAGTCAATTCAAGATGCATGAGCATTACACAATCAAACACACCCTATGCTCTCCAATTAACAAATTAAAGAGACAACTCATGTTTGCTTAAACTTTTAAAATGCCTTAATAAAAACTAAAATCAGAATCACTGGGTGTTTCCTCTTGACTATTCTTTTTTTCTTACATGAAAGCCACAGTCTTTACAAGTTTTCCATGAGTAAAGAGCATTTGAAATTCTTCAATCATCTGGTGTTCCCAGAAGGAACCTATAAACACTCCAGCTTAGTCCCCCTTAGGCACACGCACAATTCTAAAGATTGCACATCAGCTAACATGTGAGTCTCAGAAGAACGCTGTTTGTGTTCATTACTTTTCTGCTATTTCTCATCCTTTTTTTCTCCAAATATGTAGAGCCAACTTCAATAGCAGAAATCTTCCAAAATGTGTTCTTCCATCAGTAATAAACTTATGACCTTTCATCAAGTGAAAACTGTATGACTCATCTTCCATTGCCAAATTCTTCCCGTAGCCTTCAACATAAAGCTATCATAAATAAGTAGTGGTGACTCCTTTGATGTGTGAAACAACCTTCAGTGTCTCAGTATGTCTGTCAGCACCGAGAGAAAGTATACACCCTCCAGCGTTTTTGAGCACGGGTCCTTTACACTTAGTAACTACATGGGCTTCTCAGGTTTTTAAGGTGTTTTTTTTTTTTTTTGGTTTTTTTTTTTTGGTTTTTAAGGTTTAGGTGTTCAGCCATTCCAATTTAGGTCCCCCAAATAGAAAATGATAAAACAAAAATATTTAAGGAGAAGTGACTTTTGAGGCCCAGCCTAAAATAATTTTTTGTCATGGTTGTATGTCAAAGTAGTTTCTCAAGGAAATCTGTCATTGACTCTTATTCAGAGAAATTCTACATTCTCATTTTAGTAAATTTGGACTATTTTCCCAAAACATTGATTTTCAAAAAAGCAGAAAAGACTACAGATTCAGCTGTAACCTTACTTAATATTATGTTTTTCAATATGTATTTTTTAAATTCATCTTGCCCCTAGTCAACTTTGTTTTTCTTCCTCTAACTCATTTCCTGGATGAATTGTTTTCTAAACAATGAATGCCATTTATAGCTATACTGTCCAATCTTTCCCTTCTTTCCTACTGCTGATGAATTTTCAACTTCTAATGAGCTGATGATATAACTAATCTATCACTAAGTACATAGTGCAATGTCAAGAGTAAGTCTTATTTATTCAAGTGATAAGGAAAGCCCTGAGACAGATTGTTAAAATTATACATGATCAGTAAAATGTTAATATTATGTTAATTCTATAAATAATCTGCCCTTTCTTAGAATACGTTATTTTAAAATACATTAACTTGCAGTTATGTCTTTTAAGT